TAAGTTCTGTTTATGCTTATGTTTCTGTATTAACGATGACATCCCAAATGTTTTAAAATGAATAAAAATATATTTATTCGGAAATGCTTTGATAACGTAGTTATCATGTTTTTCTGGGAAGAAAATTCCGCAAGACTTTTATTAAAAGAAGTACTCTGCTTTTTATAAAGCATAAACAAAATCGGTCTTTTCTGGCCGTGAAAATGGGGATGTCACAACTACAAAGGTATCAAAATAAACTTTTAATCTAAAAAATTATGTATGGAAGAATCGGATGATATAAGACTTGACATTATAACTTAAGAAAAATTAATAAAAAAGAATAATGTAAAAAGAAATTATTTAATTAGAAATCAAAAAATGTAACTTTAAAATATAGTAAAGGACCTAAATTGTAAATTATATAATACCAATACTTTAATTTTAAAATTATAAATGATGAAAATGTTAGATAAAAATTATTTGAGGAGAAAATTGAAAATATGGCAATCTGCTAATATCGGAAACAAAATTTTTATTTCCAAATAAAGGCTCGTTATAAATCTTGTATTGTGTGATAACCACTCAAATGAATAATAAATCACAGCGGTATCAGGTGGTGTCATCCCTCCTTGAGGTTGATGGTTCAAGTCCCGTGGTGGACATAGGTGGAATTAGGTATTAGTTTAGGAGTAGAATATAATATTTGTATTTGCTGGTTAAAAAAAAAAAAAAAAAAAAAAAAAAAAAAAAAAACATATACACGTTCTATCAAAGTAATTAATAAGAAGCCAAAGACATCATTGTTCATTAATTTCTTCTTGTTTCTATTTTATTCTTTCACAAAAACAGGTATACTCTAGATTGAATTGGCACAACATTATTTACTACTACCATAATCACTTACTACATGTAACATTAGCTGTATACACTACCTATGTAAATCACTAAATCTTATGTTTGGACCAAACAAGTTCTTAACTTAGACCGACGGATTATTACATTCCTTTGGAATTTCTTTGTATTAGGTGCAAGTTTTCAATAATATCTATTTGAATAGAAGGTAAATGCAACTATATTGTAAATAGAATGTAAATACAACTAGTAAATAGAACGTAAATACAACTAGTAAAAGAGGTTGACTCTCTACAGATGTACTCACAAGTCACATCCTTTCACACTCTTGTATCACAAAGTAATCAACAACAATCCCGTTTTATCTTCCAAACATAAATTTGCACAAAGAAAAAAAAAATAGATAGAATTTGAATGACTAAAGGCTAATAACATGAAACTCATACATGGGTAAAGAATCCATTTGGTGTTGATCTACTATCGCCTTGTGGTCTTCTTGTAAAGCACATATATGGAGAGCCAAACGAGCAGTAGAAGAGTTATGGAGGATATGAGGGACAGAAGAATGGAGGCTGCAACGTGGAAGCAGAAGGAATCGTACGTGTTGCAGATCTTGCTCCATCCGGTATGAGAGTTCCCTTTGAATCCAATATATGCCACTCCTCCTGCTGCTCCTGTTGCTGCAGCCACAATCCCCAACAGCAGCTGCACCAAATCCATTGATTTCAAGTTAGTTCTCTCTTTGCAAAATTATAAATACATATCTTCGGCCAACTAGGCTTACCTGACCTCAATTAACAATCTTACACCTAAATCAGGAAAAGATCTTTCTTATGAAAAATTGATACATAACACTTATAACATGTAGTGGCAGCTAGTAACAGCAGAATCACACTTAAAACATTGATCACGAAGCAAAAGATTGCTTAGTGATTATGATGAGCTGACCTTCAAGTTTTGTCGTAGAATTGGGTCCTTAACCTTGGTATGAACTACCTTAATTAATTTTCTAAGGATAAGTTTCGTTGTAGTTTTGCTAACATGCAAATAGGTAGATTGTGCACCTTATAATTGCATTTTTTTGGACAATTAGGATACATAAGAAACTCATAATTATCTTCATACAAATTTGATTTTCTCAAATTTTCTTGGAGGGTTAATGAATTAATGAGTATGGTTCAAGAGCTTACAGCATCGAACATCACAAAATGAAACTGCATTTTTGCGGAGCATCCACTGGGCTTCATCGCTGACAAAAGCGATAGCACAGCTGTGATTATGCTATACAAGCAAGCCACCGAGAGTGCAACTACAAAGTATCTGCACCATAAAAACACATGGATCTGTTAAGAAGCAACTCTATAACTGATCATATATAACCATTAATGGTTCAAAAAGTGCTCTTGAATCTTGTTTATTGAGGTGAAGTTACTTACATGAAAGCTGGGGAATGCTCGAACTTTGCAGGCAATCGTATTGCCAAGCCTGGTGCAAGTGGAATCAGTTTGGTTTGGTTTGAAGTTACCATGACAATGATTGAAACCAAGGCTGTTAAGAAAAGCAAAACCCTTAAGGCAACATCAACCACCGGACTGCAATCACCCTTGTATTCTGGTGGTGGTGCGGACCTCTTTAATGGTTCCTCGGCGGCTGCAGCTGGAGAAAACGTGGTGTCATAGGATGCCATGGCCACCGGAAAATGGAATCACCAAATTGAAGCTTGTGATTTTGTGGAGGTGTGGTTGGGTGTTAGCTACAGAATGCAGATTTATAGAAAAATTTGGTCAACTGATTTGGCTCAATATTACTTTCATGCACATTCACGTTTATGGGATATTTACATAATTACATTATATATTATAAATTAGGTCTAAAAAGTAAAAACCATAATACTGATAGTAACCGATAAGTAGTCATATAAGTTTTGAAATGATGAAAAATTATGACAAAATGCAGTTTCTAATATGAGTTATATCAGGTGCACTATAAGGTTTTATACACATTTAATAATTTAGGATTAAAAAAATATTCCTTTATAAAAACAATTTGGCTTTCATTAAAAAGTGATTAAATTGATTAATAAACGGCTTGTAGCGCAGCTGTATTAGATGTATTGGAAAAGTGTTCTTTCCTAAGCGGTCGAGGTTCAAGTCTCGTGGTGGGAAAAAAATATAAAATTAGAGCGAGTTTAATGGACTTGTGTTTGCCCTCTAAAAAAATTGAATGCATTAATTAAACATTATTTATAACTTTAAATATTTAAACTATCTTCATTTTTTAACATTATTATATCTCCCACTTAATTGATATATAAAGGTAAAACTTAAACCTTATAAATGATCCAAACCACACTCTTCTAATAAATAATAATCATTGATCCGCGGATGTCGTATTCAACGTTATCTAAGTTATGGAGATGATTGATAGATTATCATTTAATTATATAATGAAAGAGTTGCTTGAACGGTATCTTGTATTGATAGTCTTCTATTTCTTTTATAATATTAAATTTGAAAGGAAATTTACGTGTCAACAATCTAGAAAACAATCGTTGTTTTAATGCTAATTTTTATACTTCCACTACGCAAAAGATCAATTTTTCAGTATTTGAGAAAATATGAAGGTATGCAAGAAAAATAAATTGATGATAAGCAAAAATGAAACATGATATTATTATTAAATTAGGTGTGAGACTCATATATTACATGAGTTTATTTAAAAAAAAACTAAATATAAAATTCTAAACATTTGAAAAGTATGAATTTATAAGAAAAATAAGAAAAATATTGAATTATAAGTGTTTTTTTTCTCTTTTAAATTTAAACAAATAATTTAGATTTAGATAAATAAATAAAGAAAATTAATGAATCTTTAATTTGGTAATTTTGAAATTAGAAGAAAAGTTCATTAATGAAATTGATATGCATTTATTATTGAATATAAATACTATCTACAATTTAATAAAATGAAAAAACCATAAAATGACATTTAGATAAAAATTAATTTGAAATAACCACAAAATTACATGTGTCAAAATAAATGAGAATGTGACATGTGGCAAAAAGATCTTTATTTATTAGGGAAGATTTTTTTTAGACTAGATCCATTTAAATAATTAAGATTAAGAGAAACCTGATACATCTTAACAATTTCCAATCCATCAGATCACCACTTATTTTGAACCAAACGAATGTCTATACGTTTCCTAAAATACAATTATGTGATCACATGAATAAAACTTCATCTTTATCTTCATCTTCGTCTTCATCCTCATCCTTTCTAATAAATAAAGATTCTTTTGTCATTTGTTAAATTCTCAAGAGTTTTGTCACATGTAATTTTATGAGATTTTTAAACTTATTATTTTCCACTTGTCATTTTTTGGGAATTTCTATTTTTTTAAAATAAAATTCCATAAATTTCTTACAAGTTTATAAGGAAAAAACATCATTCTATTAATTTGATAATAAAGTCTCATAAATGTTCTAAATAATATTTTATTTTTTTATAAATATTTCAAAAGATTACATTATGTTATGTAAAAGTGTTATTTTATAAAATATTTAATATTTAAATATTGATAATAAATTTTTATTTTTAATAAACTCGTGTAGTGTCTAGTTGGGTTTATTAAAAATGCATAACCCTACTAGACACTTCTTTATAGGCAGTTTAGTTTTAAAAACATATTAGGTATGAAACTCGTGTACTACACATGTTTATTAAAAATAAAATTTTAATATCAATATTTAAATATTTAATATTTTATAAAATAACACATTTACATAACATAATGTAATCTTTTGAAATATTTATAAAAAAATAAAATATTCTTTAGAACATTTATGAGACTTTATTATCAAATTAATAGAATGATTATCTTTCTTTATAAAACTCGTTAGAAATTTATGGAATTTTATTTTAAAAAAATGGAAATTTCCAAAAAAATGACAAGTGGAAAATAATAATTCTAAAAATCCCACAAAATTACATGTGGCAAAAATCTTAAGAATTTGACAAGTAGCAAAAAGAAAATTATTTATTAGAAAGGATTATATTTTATGAAAACATATTAATTCATGGAAATGCACAAAGTCACGTGAAAATTCAATCTTTATGCTAATAATAAAGCACAATTTTTAACAATTCAATTAAAAAAACATATCTGTCCATAAGAAACTTAAATTAGGTTATTACTCTAAATCTTTATGTTCTCCGGTTTTTCTATTAATTCCATTAACATAAAATCCTTTTTTACCCTTCATCCTTAAAATCTACACAAATTACATTTTAAGAATAAATCAAATCATTAAACGATAAGTATTATATTTTCAATAGATAAATTATATAAAATCCAAAGATAACTTCAACCCCTTTAGTATTAGTTACTAGTTGAGACATCTATGTATTACATGAGTTAATTTAAAAATAAAATTAAATATAAAAGTCAAAATATTTGAAAACTTTGAATTTATAAGAAAATAAGAAAATAATGAATTATTATAGTGGAAATGTTTTTTATCTTTTGAATTAAAAAAAAATTTTTAAATAAAGAAAATAAATTAATGAGCTTTAATTTTAGAAATTTTGAAAATTAAAAGGTAAGTTCATTAATGAAATTGATATACATTTATCACTACATTTATTGCAATTATTACATTAAAATATTATGTAAAATTTAATAACATAGAAAAACTCATAAAATGATATGTGAAAAAAAAAGTTCAATTCAAAATAACTATAAAATAACATTTGACAAATTGAATGAGAATGTAACAAACGACAACAAAAAAGCATTCATTTATTAGAGAGTATTACTTTAAATTTTATATAT